GTGGTCAGTCAGTGAGCTACTTCCCCACAAGGTTGGAGGGAAAGCATGGATGTTTGCCTTTGCAGCTCCACACCAGGCCTGGCAACCACTGCACTCCTTGCTGTTTGTTTTATTTGTTGGCTTTGGTCGGGAGGAGGGTGAATTGTAATTGCAACATCCGAATGGATCATTACACTGGTTTTGCATGAGCAGACGCTGTGCAAGCTGTCCCCAGGCCCTGTCACACACCTCAGTGCCCTTTCCCAGGCCTCTCTCCTCCACACAACTGGTAATCCACCTCAGCCGCCCCTGCCCGGCGGCGGCTCCCCGCTCTGCCGCAGCCCCTCAGCGGCAGGGAGCTCTCAGCACCTGTTCCTTCACAAACCTCAGAGACCGTTTTCTCGCTCCAGCCCCCTCCTTCCGAAGCCACTGACACCCGCGCCAGCCCAGCCCGCGGCCTCACCTCCCAGCCGCCCTGCTGGTGGTGCTGCCGCCCGGCGAGGGGCTCCGATGCACTGCACCTCATGTCGAATAAGCTCGCTGGGCTACGCGGGAACCACGTCTCATGGTTCATATGCTGTAATGTCCCAAATGCTACAGGAGGGCTACGGAGTTTTCTGCCAGTCATGGCATCCTCATAGACTCACCCGACAGTTAGCAAAAATGCATTTCTACTTCCAGAAAATGAGGTTTTGTCAAACCTCTCCGTATCCACATCCAAGCACAGCCCTGCTGAACCGTTTCAAGCGATCTCTCACCCACCCACTCACCCACCACACACACATATGAAATGAGAGAAAAATATCTAGACATCTATTACTATATATGTATTAATATGTTAATATCACTCTTTTGGAGATATTAAAATGTTATTACTTTACAGACTATGCTTTATAGTACCTGTGTGAAAGGACCTAGGACACTGGATACGAATAGAGCTATGTTGATATATCATGGTATGTACACAAGAACTTTCCTTTTGTCATATTATCCTTGTAATGTAAAATGATTGTTAATAAAAAAAATTTAAATTTATCAAATTGGGTTTCCAATTCTTTGAGTTGTTCTTGGAGTTAATGTCATTTTGCCAGATGAAGGGCATCTAAGCTGATGCACTCCCGTTTCCCTCAGCCCAGGACTATAAAGAGCAGATTCAGTGCTGATTAATCCAGAAGGGTCAGTTGCAGCCCCCTGAGGTGCAGCTGGTAGTTCTCTCTCCTGAGTGACTGGCTCCTGACATGCTGAGTGCCACTGCAGCCCTTTGAAGTCCTCACCTTGGTGAGCAGGTCCAGCATGTCCTGTGATGGAGCTGCCTTGTTTCCCCATGGGCTGGGTTATCCCAGTGCTGTGCCAGGGCTGCAGCAGGCAGATCAGGAGCTGGCGCCTCCCAGCAGCTCAGGGCTGCTCTGGGTCAGCACTGGCAGCTACATCAGCACATGCTATTTTTGGGTAGGGATGCAGAGTGGGTGCCCTTGAGGCTTCGCACACCCTTTCTAGTCAGGTACAGTGGCATTACCTTTAGCTTTGCTGTGGTGAGCTGGGCTTGTCATGTGGATTGACAAAGCTGTATGTATGTGCCTGGTTTGGTTTGAAGGATGGAGAGACTTTTCTTGGGCTCTAAATGCTCTAAATCCAGGGGAAGCTGGGCTTTTTCTATCCTTAAAAGAGAGGGCTGACTTTGAATTTTTTTGACACTGGGCTCACAGTTGATTAACTAAAAGTGCAACTTTTAAAACAGTTCAATGTATTAAGAGTATTTTTGTATATGTAAGATCTTATATCTGCTAAACTGTTGTGGGCAAGAGAGCCAATATCTGAAATGAGCACATGGGTCCATGGATTAGTCCTGGGCTGTGGGTTGTGTTTGCTGTCCAAACAGCTGAAAACATTGCCTCCATGGGCTGAGTCTGGCTGCTGCTGTGGGTACACCTCGCAGCAAAGGATACAACTCGCAGCAAAGGCATCACAGGGACTATGGTTCAGGTTTGCATGTCAGTACAAGCAGGGACAACCTTGCAAAGGTTTAGTCCATCCCTGGGTGACAGCTATAGCTAGAGAGAAACATAGGCGGAAAACAAAGCCCTTCCAGCACGAACAGTTGCTGGCTCAGCTGTAAATGTGTCCATGTGTCAGTGGAGGGAAGCAGAAACCAAGGAGCAAGCTGTGCAGCTGAGGGTGTAGATGCTGCATGTGGCACTGCATACTGTGAGTGTTGATACTGATAGTATTGCTGGGCTTCAGTATGTAGGGATGGAAGCATCAACAGGACTGGCTCTTTAATCCTGTCTGAAGGAATCCTGGCTTTCCAATTAGCCCAGGGGGAGTGTGCATGTAGACCCATCAATCCCCACAAGTGAAGGGCTGTGCAGAAATTTTGGGTTCAGAGTGAATGCCTCCAAATTTTAATGGAGAGTAGCCCCTGGGGCTGGAAGTGAGCGGCAGTTTGTCATCTGAGAAGCGAAAATAGCCCCAGATTAGTCATCCAATAGGTCTAATAGGAAAGGTTGTTTTAGTGACTTCCTCAGAGTCCACTTCATTGAGCAGACCACATATTACACACAGTGAAATTACACACAGTGTAATTACACACAGTTTGTAATTTTCTGGTAGCTTTCACTGTAGTGATTGGAAATTGCTTATTTTTGAGCAGTAAGCAAGCCCAGCAAAATCCTGATGGTTGTTGGGGCTTAGCTTCAGTTGGGTTTCCTGGGCACCTGTCAGTCAGCAGTGAAAACCTCATCTCTGGGGCTTTTGCTTTTGCTAGTCAATTGACAGCATGAAGGCAGGACAATACTTCACTTTCAGCAGCTCAACCATGTGTAAAGAATCAGAACTGCTTGTGAAATGCATTGCTGCATTGTAATTCATTTCCTATAGGCAATTCTGTGCTGTAGACTCTAGTTAGTCACCCTTGGCAGTGATCAGCCTCTTTGCTGGTAGCTTAAAACCAAGGACTTAAAAGCAAGATCCCTTCAAGCAAAGTGCACTATCTGAGCTTTTATCAGGAATGGAAGTTTGCACAAAATTCATCTGATCTAGGCCTAAAGGTGCCCTTCACTTGTAGGACCAGTGATTCTCATGTCAATATGAGTGAAAAGGAAATTGAAAAATTCCTCAGCGATGGTTGTCATAGCATTAAAGCCTGCCACACACTTCCCCAGCTCTGTAGGTGTCCTGGATATGCTCCATGGAGTTGACTGTTGTTAGCAGCTGGTGCTAGAAACTTCATTTAGCAAAAAAACTGGACATGTTTCTTCCTAGAAGCAGAAGGTGTGGAGCCTGTGATGCCAAGAGCAGGTTTGCAGCACTTCCCAGGGTCTGTCTTCCCTATCTTACTCTCCTGAGGCAGAAGGAAAAGCGCAGGCAGCCGAGCACATGGGTGGGTTTAAACAGGTGGCCCCCAAGATGTTTAAATCAGAGGGCAGATATCTGGGCAGTGCCAGGTCCAGCTCTGCAGTGGCACAGGGGACCAGAGGCTGTTTCTGGCAGAGCTGTCGCCATACGCCACACAAATGGAGCCACAGCTCATTTACAAAGGGCTCTAAAAATATCTGCTGGATAATCAAAGGCTCCCACAGCACAGCATATGTGCTAGCTAGACTTTTTGATTCTCTGAAGTCCTCTATTTGAAGTTGTTTTGATCAAGGAGAAGAAGAAGTGTGCTGTCTGCATGGCTGCCAGGCACCCTGTTTCTGGGGACACTGGTGGTACCTCTGGAGGTACACAGTGGGGGGAGTGCCTCACAGAGATGCCAGGGCTGGGATGGGGAGCCATGTGCAGCAGAGTGGCAGGAGTGGCAGAGCTGCACTCCAGGCCACCACTGCACTTTGTTGGCGTCCAGGAGAGCTGTCTGGAGAACTGGGTAGTGTGTTCGATTTAGGTGTGACCTGTTTTCTCAGGGGCATCTTGGAGCCCTGTCCTCACTGGGTTCATTCCACATTCAGTGATCACTAAGGTTTCAGGGAAGGGAAGAGCTGGCTGCAGACCTTCAGGGCTAGCACTGGCAATACTGTGATATAACTGCTGGATTAGGTGCTACTCTCTCTTGGCAGACAGAGGATTACAGGACAATCCCAGTTTAATTTTTAAATACTGTAGGGGGAAAAAAAAGCTTCTAATAAATCTGAAGTGACAATGAACAGCAGGGTTAAGAGAAGAATGGTTCTGTGGCAGTTATTGCTACTTTTCAATATGCTGAGCTGGGAATTACTGAGTAACCCTGTGCAAATCCCCCAGGTGGGAAGGATTGTCCCTGGCAGATGCACCACCCGTGTTCAGCTCACTGTGCAGCAAAAATACAGCTTTTTCCTTCGTCTCTACAGAAAATTCTTCAGTGCCATCTGCCTCGCTGTGCAGATAACAGGCACCCCTCTTCGCAAAGCTAGCAACAGCCTGGGGCTCTGCAGACTGGCTTTGTTTTCTCTCCTTGTGCTTTAACGCTGACTGTGATGGGTGAGAGTGCCCCCAAACTGTCAGTGAGGTAAATACTTCCCGCTCCTGCTCCAAAAATCTCTTTTCTTTTACTTTTATGTGCAGGTTTTGATCTGTGTGTCTTGTTAGGAACCAGCTAATTCTGGTGATGGTATTAGGTCAGCCAAGCATGTTTTCCTCCTAATGAATGCATGGTTTACAGAGTATCATCAACACCAACTTGAAAGTACTGAGACTGGCAAAAAACAAAATAATAATTTAAAAAACCCCTCTAAATTCACTTAGTTTTGTTTCAGAGATGGAGCCAGTATCTGGGAAGAAACTGGTTCCCAGATCCCATTCTCTAATCTCCTTGTAGCTCCTTTAGAGCTTTGTTTAGCTGCCACCTTGCTGAAAAGGCCAATAGATTTCTTGTGCTTGCCCAGGACAGGACTCTATTGCTGACTCCTCCTCTTCTCTTCGTACACCCATCCTTTGATGACACCCTTCAGAGCATCTTCTGTTGACTCAGGCTGGCACTCTGTGCCTCTGACATGAGCTGCAAGCAGAGGGGACTTACTGTAGAGTAAAAAATGCAGACACAGCACTGGTACAGCTTGGAATTATTTACTTGCAGTGTTTTACATGTTGTGCTGTAATATTAGACACAAAGGCTGAGCATCATGCTCTGATTTTGTGCATTAGATTGTGAGAACAATATAAAGTCTTGACAAACAATATCTGGCCGTGTACAATAAACACACTGGGACACCAAAGGACCAAGTAAGCAGAAAAGCCCCCTCATGCTGGAAGGCTACAAATCACTATTTCACTTTGCTACTTTTCTTGTGCATATTGAAAACAGAAGAAATAATATGATGTGTTGAGTGTTACTATTTACTCATCATGCTTATCTTTCAACAAATTAACCAAATACATTTTAATACCTAGTTAAATTCTGAAACACATAAAAATGCTGTCAAAGCTCTGTCCCTTAATTCAATCAGACTTCAAACTGACCTTCATAAGAGTTCAAGAGGCATGGTCCAAGCCACTTTAGCTTCCAGTTCTTATTAAATCTCATTGTAGTCAAGTTGTCTTAGACATTAGGAAAATTTGGGCAAACCTTGGGCTGTAATTCTAGGGCCCAAATGACAACCTACTTCATTTTGGGGGGAAAAAAAGATTGGTTTTGAATGCTACTGCCAGATAATACTGAAGACAGATGCTAGCAAAATACAAGGTACAGCCATTCAATGTATTGAAAGCCCATCTGTACCTGGGAGAATAATTGAGCCTGAAAATTTTCCCAGTCCTGCTGAAAGGAATTTTCCATTACATTCTGATGTATTACCTCCTTGCAAAGCAAACATGTTTCTTATTAGCATGCAAGGATATTTGGGACAACAACTGAGGGGAAAACCTTGCACTGAAAAAATATTACCCTTACAGGGTATCAGCTGTAACCACTCCCCTTAAAACTGGGGAAGGGTGCTGAGGGTAGTAATGAGTCTAAAACATCCCAGATATTTTAGTTATTATTGATGATTTGTGCTTATTAATCCTTCTACTGTAGGACAAATTGCTTAAAATCAAACTAGATCATTTTTGGGGAGGAAGATCTAGCTCTGAGGGCAGGTTGAGGCAAAGCAACAGATGGCTACAATCTATATTTTCACAAAGGAACTCAAAGTAGTCACAAGTCATTTCCTCTGGCCTCTTAGCCCTCTCCTCTGAGCAGAGGCCACCTCAGGAGGCCACCTTTCCCAGGCAAAGCTGGGTAATATACTGGGAGCTGCATTTCTCAGGCTTTTTTACAGTAATCTGGTTGTCTGTGCTTTGTCACTGGATGAGGGACTGTGAATCCCTGTCCTTAAACTCGCAATTCTGACCTTTAGTGAGAAGGATCATTCATTCTGACCAGGTAGACTGCCTCGCACCATGGTTTTTTGTTTGTTTTTTTTTTTTTTTTTCTCCTTCCCTATTCCCTACGGTCTCTTGGCTTCCAGCCTCTTCATGTTAATGCTTATAACAGGCAAAATAATCAGTCCAGCCACTAACTAGCCACTGGGGACTCTTGTGGCTGCTTTTGGTCACACATATGTCTTAGGAACATTAATTGCCATAACTGGGGTTTTTTTTGCTTCTTCTCTTATGACACAATTTATAAGCAGCATCCTTTAATTTAATACACAGTGGTGCTTGCTGATGCTCCTGCATTTTCAGCTTCAGGAGCTGAAAACAGAGGGTCTGTTTGGCTCTGTCCTTATTGCACTTCAGCGATACTTTGACAGCTCAAGTTGCTGAAGCTGCTTGATACAATGGCATTTCCAAATACTTCGGATTTATCTTCATGACTTTATCAGCTACCACAACCATTCCCAGCCATTTGTCCGCTGGGACAGTTCAGCACCTCGGCCCTTGGGGTGCTGAGGCTCAGGGACAGCCAGGTACTGCTGCTCAGGCTGTTCGGAGGGATGAGGGCAGCGCCCGGGCAGACGCTGGAATGCGATGGGTGACACACAGCCCCTGTTAGCAGAGTTCAAAAGGCCGGGCTGGGCGCCCCTGCCCCTCGGGTACCACACGTACACAGCATTCCTCATCCCGTTACGTGCCCGCTGTCAGCCCCCGGCCAGCGGCCGCCTCTTCCCAGGGACTCCTGGCAGCCTTTGTTCGGGCTGTGCTGATGGCTAGGAGCATTCTTTGCAGGCTAAAATGCCAGACAAGAAGAATGATCCGTCCGGGGCAGATGTATGCATTTTCACTCCTTCTCTCTTTCCCATTAAATCCCACTGCAGCAAAGGAGGAAACAATGCCGTTCATTAACACTGATGGCACCACTTGGCTCCTAAGACAGATTCGTAGTTAAGCAGTGTGTATACACAGTATTTGTCTGCTGTAAAAGAGGACATTGTTTTACCACAGCTAGTCAGATTCTGAGGAGCTATTCTTTTAAATGCCATAGGATTGATTGATATCTATTACAGGGTGTGCCAGAATCACCAGGGCACAGGCAGATAATGCTGTTTACAATCAGTCATCAAGATGTTATAAAAGGCTCAGTGAAACAAGCAGAATGCAGAACTAGAGGAGTTGGCAGCAAGGCAAATATTTGGCCCTTCAGGCTTTCCATTGCCAGCCAAATAGCATCATTATGTGAAGTTATCCTTCTTACCATTAGCCCTCAAAAAATCACAGTGCTGCCTGGAACCTATATGTGAATTAGGCCAACATTCCAATAATTTCTGCACTTATATGGAAATGATTACTCCATACCTATAGGTACATCTACAGGCAAATCAGGATCATAGTAAGCATTAAGAATTCACTATCAACTAGACCCCTGTGTCCAGTTTACTCACAGTATCCTACAGCTTTTTGTTAGTAAACAAAACCCTATACAAGAAGAGCAAAACAAGAAACCAATTTTCTTTTCATTTGCATGCCCTCTAGCCAACAGATTAATATCAGAGATTAAAATATTGGGTGCAAGATTCATGGGCATACTTAGCTTTTCAGTCTGTCTGGTTGCTCAAAGAAGATTTTATTGCTCTCTTCAAAATGATCCTGTAACTCCTGGCTACACCACCCACAAAAGAAATAGTAGTGTAAAGACAACAGTTTTCAGTGTGCATCAACCTTGTCAGTTTCTTCATAGAATCATAGCATTGCTGAGGATATAAAGGGCCTTTGGAGATCATATAGTCCAAACTCACCCCTGCTCAAAGTGGGATAAACTAGAGCAGGTCGTTCACGCTGTATCTCATCAAATTTTCACTGTCTCCAAGCATGGGGACCCCCAACAACCTCTTCTTGTTCCAGTATTTGATTATACTCACAGTAAAAAAGCAGGTTTATTCTTGCTATTTTTCATGTGTTCAAATGGAATTACCTACATTGCAACTTGTCACCTTGACTCTTGTGCTGTCTCTGGACACCAGTGAAAAGAATCTCTCTCCATCTTCTTTTGTCCTCTCCAAGGTCAGGTATCTGTACACATTGATCTAAACAGTTCCAGCTCTCTCAGACTCTTCTCTTATAGAAGATGCTCCAGTCTCTTAAACATCTTCATGGCCATTTGCTGCACTCTTCCCAGAATGTCTGTATCTTTCTTGCCCTGGGGAGTCCAGCAACAGACACAGCATTCCAGAAGTGCCCTCAGTGGTGCTCACCCTCCTTTGACCTGCTGGCATTGCTTAATGCAGCACAAGGCGCTGTTGTCCTTCTCTGCTGCAAGACCACAATGCTGGCTCATGTTCAACTCGGTGTCCACCAGGACACCCAGGTCCTTTTCTGGAAAGCTCCTTTACAGATTGTCAGCCTTCACCCCCGCACTGCAAGGTTGTTCTTCCTCAGGTGCCACTTCTCCTTGTTGAATTTCAGGAGGTTCCTGTTAGCCCAGCATTTCTCCAGCATTTCTCTCAGCATCCCTCTGAATGTCAGCAAAACTGCCTTGTGTATCAATCACTACTCCAAGTTTTGCATCACGTACAAACCTGCCAAGGCCATGCTCTGCACCATTGTCTAGGTCATTTATGAAGGTGGTAAACTCTGTCAGTCTCTCGACCAGCCCCAGTCACCACTAATTACTGACTTCCAGTGAACTTCATTTCCCAGTTCATAACCCACTGTGCCTGGTCTTCAGCCAGTTTTCAGACACTGGTTCTGTTGTTTTCTCTTTGCCAACAGGATGGTAGCCTTCCCTTGACAAGCTGCTAGACTTGTTAGACTGCACCATCAGAATAGGACGGATACTACTTAAAGTAGTATCTACTTAAAGGTTAGCTTAATATTTTACTACTTAAAGGTTAGCTTAACATTTTGATTTAAACAAGGAGCAATCTGACCCTGCAAATATGAAGCTCTCTGAGATTTTCAGGACTACGAATTATATGGTTCGGTTTCCAGATTTTTGGATGCCTTGTCCCCATGGAAATCCCTTAAAGTTGTGTCTACTTCTTGAAAAAAAGTAGTAAGACTAGCAGTGTGCTTATAGGGTCATGACATTATCACTGCCAATGCCAGACTTTCAGTCCATCTAGAAACACAAAAAAAAGGACAGTCATAAGTAACATTTAAGCCGCATCAAATCTTGAAAGTGCACACAAAAAACAAGCCCTGGAGAGTCTGTCTGGTTGGTGATTTCCTTCTGTCTGGAAGTAATGAAATACATGGCAGTTAATAAGGGTTGTCCTTGAGTAATGCTGATAGGAGGATTTGAGTGCAATAGTTAACTGTCAAACCAAAACCATCTATCAGCTGCTAAGGTATGTAATGATCCCACTTCTTCTGCCTAATTTTAGATGTTGCCTGGAATATAAATAGCATATTTGAAATTTGGGATAAACCCAAACAGAAAATGTGGCAGTAAACAGAAAGATTTGGTCCAAGTTTTAGGAGGTAACATCAACAGTAACTTTTTGTCCATATTTAGGATCTTCCTGGATGACATCATAGAAAGATAAATGCTGCAGGTATTCTGATAAAGGATCCTGAAACATTCATATTTTCAGCAGTTTTCATGAATCTTAAATACAAGGTATTAAACTCTCCAGGAAACAAAAGTAAAGGAAGGTATTTGACTTCTTGCTCGGCAGTGTTTGCTTCAAAGGCTACACAGGATGAGGGTGTTGACTGTCTCCCCCTTTCTTCTTCTTCTGTTCTCTCCCTTCATTCTGTGTATTTTTCTAGGTATCCATTTACTGCACTTTGGCTTCACTGTCTTTTTCATACTCATTCTTTGTGCCTGCCATGACAGTCAGTTCTCTGATCTTCATTTCTCAGTCTTGTGGAGCATTATGAAAAGCAGTGATTGATAAAACAGTTGTGTGTTGGTGATTATGGAGCCAACACTCATCAAGGGACTTAGGTGACAGCACTAGATGCCAATGAAGGGCTCACATTTCCATGATAACTTTGCTCTTCTTTCCTTCCCTCTGTTTCTCTACAGAAACAGTGACCTCTCAGAAGAGACAGTGGGCAGGTAAATAAAATGAATTCAAATCATCCAGGCAGGCAACCCGTTGTTTGAGACAACCACTTGATTAGGTGAGAGACTGTCCTTTAAATACATTTTCCAGACAGTTTCCTGGGCTAGAATGGTCAGGAAGATCAGAGAAGGGTGGTGTAGTAAGAGTGCTGTGCTGAGCAATTTCATGGAGGTGAAGGTGGAAGATGAAATCCAGCTTATTCCCCCAGGCTCTGAGGCCTGGTGGGAATCTTGTTGTCAGTAATCATGATGAGTCTACATGTGGAGCTGGTGCCACATGGCTATCTGTTTCCTGGGGTTCCTCAGCATTTCTTCCCAGTGGTTCCTCTCTGTGCCTGTGACGTGTAAGCCCAGACCGCACTTGCCAAGCACATGGCTCTGGCCAGCTCCATCCTGGCTCAGCATTTCCAGCTCCACACTGGAGGCACGCAAGAGCTCATGAGGCACCTCAAACATGATCATCTCGTTCCACACAGGGTTGATCTTGTGTTTTGCACGTTTGGTCTGCTTCTTCTTCAACTTCAGTGACTGATGCCTCAGTGTCACCTTGACAGAAACGTCTGTATAAGGAGGGGAGAGAGATATCATGTTAATGGCCATGCAACAAATAGACTAACTAGACTAGAAGAGGCTGAGTTGGCAGGGACCCATCAGGATCATGGAGTTCAACTCCTGGCTCTGCACAGAACACTCCAAAAATTATGCCATGTGCCCAAAAGTGTTGTCCAAATGCTTTTTGAACTCAATCAGGCTGGTGCTGTGACCAACCCAAGTCTCCCTTGACTTAGGGAGACTTCATGCTGTGTCCTCAGGTCCTGTCCCTGTCCATGAAAGAGGAGATCAGTGCCTGACCTTTCACTTCCCCTTGTGAGGATATTGAAGACCATGAAGAGGGGCTTTCCTCCCTCTTCTCCAGACTGAACAGAGCAAGTGACCTCAGCCACTCTTCATAAGGCTTCCACTCTAGGCCCTTCACCATCCTTATGGCCCTCCTTTGGACACTCTCTAATATCTTAACATTTTTTTTATATTGTGATGCCTGAATCTGCACCCAAAAATCAAAAAAATGCAAGAGAATTTATAGTGGTGACATCAAACTGAGACAGCACAGTAGAAATATTGGCCAGGGGCAATTTGGTTTTCACTTTTTAGAAATTATTCAGATCTCTTTGGCTTTCTAAGCCAGACTTTTTGGTTTTTTTTCCTGCCAGACTTCACCCTTCCCACTTTCTTTCTAGATTTACATAATAGCAGAACCAACAGTATCTGTTTCCTTGCTATAACACTCACCACTTCCGAGGAGATCTTTCAGCTGCTTGGAATGGAGGTTTTTAGCCTTAATAATCACCACCAGCAGGCGATTAGCTGCTGGCAAGTAGCTGATAGAGAGCAGAACTTCCCCATGGCCCGTGGATGGCTCCTGGAAATGGAGATACAGAAAGGGTTAATTTTTATATAATCTTGGCCAGAACATTAGGAAAGCAACTGATGGGTGGAAGGTCATGGACCAACCAAGTTTTCTCTCTGTACAGGAGATCTTTCCAGTTACCTGGATAAGAATAAACCTGGCAAAGATGCCTGAGGCTCATAAGGCTCCTATAATGTGAGTTACTGAATCCTTATGGCACTGGAAAGTAACTGCTTCCTGACATCAACTTTTAGTGCAATATTTAATCAGAAGAAGATCTGGGGCTTGCATACAGTGCAAATAGTCAGAAATTCCTATTTTGAGAGACCACGTAACTGCCCTGTATTTATGTCTGACCTGGAGCTGGACTACACCTTCCCTGACACCCTATTTGGTATGAGAAAAAACCTAGCCCAGCTGAAATCCTCCACTAGCTGGGCACAGTACAAATCATGAACAGGACAGAACTGCTAGGAACGTGCCTTGAGCTGTTTTATTTTTCAGCATCAGTCTCATTACATGGTTATGACAATGGAAAGATGCCATCAGCTCACATCCCAGGCAGCAGACCAAGAACTTAATGCTACAACTTACTTTAAAAGTTTTTGACCAATCACACAAAGCAAAAGCACATTGACAGTAGTTCTACCCAACCACTATAAGCACATGTACCTTCAGTTAAAACAATGCTTGCTTATTTCAAATACAATACTTGTTGTAAGCCTTAAAACACAATGCACAGAGCCCCATTATTAAGCTTAAAACTTCCTAATATCTTCCTATATAAACTTTTCTGTAGCTTAGGGAGTTATTCTAGACAAGCGTTAATACAAAGCCCATTGTTCTATTTGTCCTTTTCTATGTTTTACATAATTTTTCTGCTGACCTATCTCATGGCTACTGCTTAGCTCTAATCACAGTTCTACTGTCTCTGAGGCCTGCCTTTTGCAGCTTTCCCAAAACCCTCTGATTTTATGAATTCCCATACTCTTCCTTCCCACCTGCCTTCCATCAGGACTGTGAGCAGCTCTCCCTGCTTCCCCTGTGGTAGACTCTCTTTCCCTTTCCCTTTCCCTTTCCCTTTCCCTTTCCCTTTCCCTTTCCCTTTCCCTTTCCCTTTCCCTTTCCCCTTTCTTCCATTTGCCCTGGATAAGCAGCCCTTGGGGAGAAAGCCTAGGGACACAGTCACACCACTGCTGCTCTCCTATAAGAGAGTAATGCCATTTCCTTCTCAGGAGCCAGCAGGGAAGGAGAAAAATCCCACACCATTGTGTGCAGAGCTGACAGCCCATGGCAAGGAACAAAAAGGGAGTAGTTATTCTCTCAGTGAGTGGGAGCTTGTGACAGAAATCTGGTTTAGTGTGAGGTTAATGACCCAGAAGAGTCCCAGAAAGCCAATGCCAATTCAACAGACTCATTCTGGGCTCCTTAGTGTGTTCTACATCCTCGAGGATAGACAGCCCTTCTCTCCAGGCTATTTCTGTGCTCTGCAGTGTCGCTACTAAGTGAGCCATAAATATTTCAAATTAAGTTTTCAACCAGTTTCTCGAAACAGGCAAGGACAGGCCCCTGTATGCTCTCCATGAGCTGATTGACTCTCCAGAAAACATGGCTGTCATCACTGTCTGGTTCAAATGACTAATTTGTCCTGCACAAGTCAGGTGGAAGGGCATTAGCAAGGAAGCCTGAAATTCAATTCCAAGTCAGCCCAAGTAAATATGTTTTTCATGCACTCAGATAGCAATGAAGGGCTTGTATGCATTTCACTTATATGAATCCTGTCTTAAACTGAAGTGGAACTTAGAAAAGCCCACACATTAAAAAAAGCAGTTTCAAATGCCTGTATGCCCACTACAAAAGAATTGTACACTCAGGGACAAACCCAAACACCACCTCAATGCAAACCCAGTGTTTAGGCTTGTCATAAGCTGCTTTTTTTTATTTACCCCCACTACATCTCAGCAGGTCCCATTCTGTAGGTCTTGGCTAGAATTTAGTTCCTGTAGCTGCAGGCACAGATAGATGCAGTGGAGATTGGGAGGGGGTGGGGCTCTGTAGACGTGCGCACACGCACAAACACACGCATTGTACTCGGATCACATCTTGCACCTATGACTTTCTAGCTCCTAGTGTGCTGATCAAGTTTTTGGCCAGCCTGTATCCACATGAAAACAAAACCTGCAATGGTTGGTCTCTGCTGGAGTTTTGCTTGGACAGACCAAACCAGAGGTACTTTCCCTTCCCCTTCTGGGCTTTGTGTTCTTTGTTTCTTTTTTCCTATTAAATCCATAACCTACATTTTGTGCTGAAATCCTACAAATTCATACAACCATCAGAGCTTCAGTCTTTCTTTCTATACAAAATGAATAAAAAGCAACAAGGGGTCATCAATGATTTACGTGCAGGGCACCACGAAATCACAAAAGGGAAGTTGCTATGCAAGGACACACTATCATCAAGCCACTATCATTACTGTCATTAGCAAAGCAGTGGGAGGGAAGGAAGACAAGATAAGGATATCAGTCTACAGTATCTACTCTTTGCATTGCTCACAGGACTCAATGAATTCCTGAATGCTAATTGCATTACCTGGTTAGCTGTAAGCTCCACTCTGGGCTCCTTCCCTTGTCTGTGGGAGAATTACTGGGAAGGTAAGAACAAAATTTCTGCCCTTCCTGGCATTTCAAGGAAATGTCACACTTTTGACAAAGCTCAGTAACTTTGTTCCTGGATGAATGCTGTCAAAAATAGCTCCTCTTTTTTGATCAGCTCTTCCTCCCTCCCTCCCTCCCTCTCTGGTTCTCAATGAATGATTCAGGATCTGTATACATAAGCTATCTGTGCAATGGTTGGCTCTCTCAGGTCCCAGATGACGCAAATTCAGCTTTCACTGCACATCCTCAGCTCAAACTGGGGCACTGTTCAGCAGTACTGCTGGTGTTAACCTTGTGCTGTCAGCCTGGAGAAGAAATGAATGCTGCACTGTTTCTGTGTGTGGTTGTGAAGCTGGACCAAGGCAGAATTCCCTGTATACCAGGACTCCATCAGGTGCACTGGAGTAACAACTTATTGCTGTGAACAGGCTGTTCCTTGTGTATTACTAAAAAAGCAAATACTTCAGTATGGCGGGAGAGGGGGAGGGTTACAGCTATTAGACAAATACTGAGTCTTGTGCTTGAAGTTTATTAAACTCATTCAGACCACCCGTTTGTTTCTGCTGCCTCTGTCCCTGACAGATGTTTTTTTAGAGTGGATGGTCCTGTTAATATTCAAGTGGTTATCAGATAAATCAGCCCTATTGGAAATCAGAAATGCTAACAGTGTACTATGTGTCTGTGGCCAGCTCACAGTGGAGAGCACTCACCCGTGATGGTGGCAGGCATTAATTTGTTTCATTGTGCTTAGTGGTGGTGCTGGTGTTGTTTTGCATTGCTCAGCCATACCATAGCAGACTGCAAGAGGTACCACTTGTTGTGATGAGCGAGCAGCAGCAGTAGCAGCATCCTGCTGCCATGTCAAGTGAATTGCTGCTGCTAGAAGAGCAACCTAGCTCATGGCAGGGAAAAGGTTCCTGAGGAAATGTGCAAGAAATTATAATGTGCACATGAAGCATCCCCTGTACCCACTTCAAGAACTGTTGGAATTCTTCCCTCCATTTTTTCCTGTCTGTGCAACTGGCAAAATGTGGATAAGGGAAAGGAAGGTTTTGATGTTTAAGGAAACCTACAGAATACAGTGAATGATATTTTGATATCTCCCAGAACAAATAGCACTGGATTGATTCCGGTAAGTGTCCTTCAGTCCAGCATTCCAGTCCCAACAATGTATTTCACTCCTAGATTAAAATCTAGGAGTGGGGTGCCACCGAGTGCCCTACCACACCCAGCTTTGCAGAGTCCCTCCATTGGGCTCTGAACGCACTCTGATACTTCATCTCTTGCCACTCTGGTCCTGTATCAATAATTCTCAGAAGCTCACACACCTTTTTCTAGACATAGCATTACAAATGCCAATGTCAGATTGTCACGTACTTGGGGAGGAGTTGAGGGAGTTGTGACACATTAACAGCTGGGAGCATTAGACAGAAGGGCTTCTGATATGATGAGCTACAGACCAGCACAGAGCTGTGCTGAGTGATCTCTGCAGTCACACATCACCCCTCTAAACCTGCTCCAAACAAATAAAGCCACCCACCCGCATGCAGCTCTCTAGGAAAAGGGTTTCTCTTGTCCAAACTCTTAATCATTAGGGTTTCTGAACTACCGACAGATGGAGTCCATACCTTCTCTGGGCTCTTTAGCCTTTCCCACTGGGCCTTCCCAAAGGATTCCTCCATTTCAGCAAGGTTCAGTTTCAGTTCCCCCACAATGCTGTGCCTGGAGAACTTGTCACAGTTCCTCAGGGTGAGAGTCAGTGTTCCTCCTGGCATCTCCTCCTCTGTTAATGGGAATTGCAGCACCTCCTCCCAAAGGGTGTGAAGTACCTTCTTCTTCAGCTCTGTCTGGGCCTCAGCAATGCCAGACTTGCTCTCCAGGGTGCCCAGTATGTAGCAATGGCAGCCAGTGTCTTGGTCCCCGCTCATTCCGTCATGCATAGCTGGAAAAGATGGATAGTAAGGACCTCTCACAAAAGACAGCCCTGAAATATCTGTGGTTAAATTGCTTGTTTCGTGACAGCCATAAAATAAAACAGCTGCATAGACATTGACCCCTGTTCCTGCCTGCATGGGGGCAGATTAAACTGTGAGTCCAAGCTGTGGTGTTTTCCTCAGGCTGCACAATGTCCCTGTCCTAGTGCCAGTGCAGAAGGATGCTGCCAGTGTTTGGGAGAGCAACAGCTGAGTTCAAGGAAACACATTCTGTTGAAAGATGCAGAACAGCACTGAAACAAGGCAGCATGAAATGGGTTGGCAGTTCTCATTTACTTTTACCTTGGCACACAAAAAAAGTTTCTTACAATGACTTTAAAAGCAGGAAGGTCGGTTACAGATATCAGAGATGGGATAGAGCTTCCCTTGGCACACATCCATCCCTCCAGGCCAATGTCAAAGGGTTATTGCATTCTGCTGGTCCAACCTCTAGTAAATGAATCCATCAGAAGCCACCCCACAGCCCAAAAGACCTGCATCAAGAGACATTCATCCCTAATTTTATATCCCCTTTATTTTGAAAAGTCTAGAGTGAGAATGGCATTTCTCACTCCTCTTCAGTTGCAGCAACAGAGCTGCACAGCCTTCTCCAGCAGCAAGAGGAACACACCCTCCTCCATGGGGTCATTGAATATCACAGCTTTGAAGGAAAAACTGTTGTCCTTGCTGCAGACAGTCCAAAGACAGCTGCTCCTGAGCTGCCAGGACCTGTGGGATCACAGGGCTCTCCTGGCTTCTCAGGGGAGCAGCACTGACAAGCAGGTCCTGTGCACAGGGGGCAGCCAGGGTGGCAGCCAGCCAGCGTGGGTGGTGGGTGTCCATCCTGAAGGGCAACTGTGGGCTTGCTGGTGGCAGGAGGCCTGCAGCAGTGGCTGCCATTCAGCACCCTTTCAATTCTCGCCTTAGAGGGTGTGATTTGATTAGGTTTCCACAGAGATCTACACTGTGCATGAATTATTCAGTCAGCTTATTTTACTCTCCCAGAGGAACTGATGATGCTCCAGCCCTGAGTGGAGAAGCTGTTGCAGTTGTCAGAGAGACGCACAGAGCCTGGCTGCCTGACCAGGCCGCTGCCAGAGGGATTTAAAATAAGTCTGGTATCCCCAGCTCAGGCTTTGACTTGACTTGAGGAAAGGGCAGTAGGGAGTGGATCAGGTTGAAGAATGAAAGGTATGGAGAGGAAGGAGATAGTAACCCCATTCCTCTTGCCCCCAGAGGAAAAAATAAAAAGAAGAGGTTGCTTTGTACCATGTCTTGGACTGGAGGAGCCCATCCTGGCTCCTGACAAAGCTGTGCAAACAACTGTTCCCAAGCTACGCCCTCTCTTCAAGCAGTGACATTGACAGCTATTCCTGTTCTGCAAGCCCAGCACTAGTGAAACCTCCAGTGGTCCTGAGGCACCTGTTGGCCTTCAGATAGGAGGGCAAGTGTCTCTAAGTGTCTCTAAGTGTAGTGACCGTGTGTGTTGCCCCGTCCAGGCCGGAGCCATGGCCCTTACCTTGGAGGAGGGCCACGCGCAGCTGTGCGCGCTGCGGCTCGTAGAGCAGGGAGTAGTGCAGCTCCGGGGCCTGCTGCCCGCCACCTGCCCGCTCGGGCCTCAGGGGCTCCGTGACACACACGTCCTTCACCACACCTGGAACTGAAATTAACCCTTTAGCAAGCAGCTCTTCCCCTTCCCAAGACAGCAAATCCACTTTCTCTTGACTTGACTTTTCAAAATGTCACACTCTTTCTGCACTTTGTATGTAGGACTATAATTTATTTTCCTTCTCAATACATCATCATGCACCCTTTTTGTTCTGTTTTCTTGCACCTTCAGCTCTTTCTACAGCATTTGGACAAGACTTCTGCTCTCCACCACCTTGTCCTCTATGATGGTTCACACACTTGCTCTTTTACCTTATGACTAGGCCAAGGTGTCTGAACGACACTCATTACTTGTTATATTGTTTTATATTCTGTTAACTGGCATTATTAAATTAAATCTTACATTCTCTGCAATGAGACTGCTCTTGAACTGCTGTGCAACTCTGCATTAGGTCAGACCTCTCTAAACATTTTGTTTTGTTTTTCTTTTAATTTTAACAATGAAGTCTTTGTCATGCAAAAGACATCCATTTCCATTGCACCTGACCAGGTTAAAGGCAATGAACTTTGGAATCCATAAGGCAGTTTCTCCATGCATGATTTTGGAGCTGAGTATGTATTTCATACTGAAATAAAGCAAGTTGTAAGACTAAAAGAAAAGCCAGATATTTTTGTCATCCAAAGCTGTTATCTGCAAGGTCAGTTTCAACTCACACAGAAAACAATAGTGGGACCAGCACACTTCCTCCAAAAAATCTCAGCCACAGTTCAGACCAGTTCACTGTGGCATCAAAAGGAGAATGCAACATTTCTTGTTTAATTTTAGCAACACTTGAGCTATATAATCAGGCAGAGCAGGAAGGAAACTTGCTTGTGCCATTAGCAGTGCAGAGAGGCTCTTACACCAACACTTATATAAGGCTTTAGCCTAAATGCAGCCATCATCTTTCATCCTTTCCACCCTTATAATCTTTTCCCTGACACCTAAGGATGTGGCTCAGACAGTCTCTTCCTCCAATGCATCTGCTTCCCATGGTACCTTCCTTTCTGTACTCACAAGCCTCAGGTTGGAGGGTTGAGGGTAGCAGTTGTCCTTCCAGAAGGGCAAAAACATAATCTCAAAAAATTAAAAATAACTAAAAAGAATACTCAGTAAAAATAAGGGCAGATGGCATTGTCTCTCTGGCAAATCTGCAGGAAGATTTTATTAAAGTGGTAACCATAAGAGTAAATTATCCTGTTAAAATATGGCTGTGAAGTTAAAAATCAGTATGGAAGAAACCCGAACATGTTGCCAGATGCATATAATTAAGATTGCATTTTCTCTCAGGCCCTAGAAATCTTATGTTTCAGGATTGGGAGTGTTATCCTTTGGGCTGGCTGGGAAACAGGAATTGTGTTTGGCAAAAACCTTTGAGGTGTCAGCCTTCAGTTTCACTGCACATTGCAATAAGCCAAGAACATCTTACCAACCCATGGCAATAAAGGAGGAGAGAAAATTAGAAGCTTTGAGCTCCACTGTCCCTGACAGGGACAGTTGTTGGACAGCTAGGATTTGACCTGGAGGAGATACTCTGCCGAATTTTGGCCAGATATTTCACACATACTCTGGCTACTGCTCTCAGCACAACTACACTAAATATGCTTTTCTACAAAATGTCTGCTACCAGGGAGACAGATTTTTTAAAACAAAAAATGTTTAAGTAAAAAAAAAAATTGCAAAAAGATACAGCTACAGCTTTGTTATCAGAATGTCCTTATGAGCTCCATTACTACCTTCTACTAAACAAATGGGTTGAAAGCAAAACTCAGAATGCTTATGATAAGAAAGTGAAAAGCATCCGATAAATTCCACATTTATTTATCTGACAACAATCACATTATGCTTAGAAGTACTACAGATCCACGCCCACTAAAGCAATTGTTAGTTTGAAGACCAAAAGCTCCTACCGTTTTGAGGGAGAACAAACAGCTCTTCATTGACTTGTATCTTCATCCTATTCTCATCCAAAGCAGTATGTTTCCCAGGAGCTGGTTCTTCTGTTGTCTTCAGAGAGTACTGCGTGTAGTTAACAATTTCAGGTGAAGTTACTTCTGGTTTGGGGCCATAAATGTTGGGAAACTTCAGAAGTGCTCGAGGCTGGACTGGCTCTGCAGTTTTCTTAATGTTGAACTGAAAATTAAAACTTTGTTTATTACTTTGCACAAATTACATTAACTCCTCCAATTCTCTTAACGTTAGATGAACTGAGACAGGAAAAAAGCAGGGCCTCTGGTCATTCCTACCATCAATTTTTTCTTGGCTTGTAGAAACCACTGCCTGTATGTCTGGAGACTTTCTTGTCAACATGGAAACCTTGTACTTGGTGTGTTTCTTTTCAGATTTATTCCTCTACAGATATTTGATTACTATAAGAAAAAGATATGTTCTTATCATTTGATTTTTCCTCTGTTCTGGTACCAGTTAATATTTTCATAAGTTAATACTTTCATTTTAGTAAAGAAATTAACCACAAAGTTAATTTTGCTTTGATTAAGATATGGTAATTTTTGCTTTGATGTTTGAAGTCAAATCCAAGAGCAAGAGGCTACAGATATCTCCCAGAATCTAGAATATTTTATATGAGTATATAGTAAGCATTAAGAGTGCAAAGATATAAATCAAACGTGGAGCAAGTATGAGCATGATGCAATAAGACTAAGGAGAGCTGGTTGAACAAATGTGCCCTGGACTGGCAAACCAAGAGAAGTTGATTCAGTCGTCATCTCAGCCCCTTGGTTCTGTGGACCAGAGCTCCATCTGACCATCAGACACACATTTCCCCTTTATTATACCAGGATTGAAATTTGGATTTATGTCTTCAATTTCCTGCTGAATCATGAACATGGGATGAGCAGAAGAACCTGCAAGATGTTTGGGTAGTCCAAGCAAAGGCTGGCAGAAAAGGCATTACTGTTCTCCCAAAACAGAAAAAAAATATTTTAGTGGAATAGAACAGTTCTCTTCTGCTTATGTCCCAAGAATGATCCCGCCTTCTTACAATTGAAATCATTCATGATTCATTTATATTTGGATTCATCAATGGGGAAGAACAAAATCTGACTAGCAAATGACCCCAACCCTTGCAACAGATTTTATTAATGTTTCCAAAACATGGAAGACAAAAACCACAAGTAAAACAGCCATTTTGGTTGATTACTGTGCAGTGGGATTATCTCCAACCTACTGCCTGCTAACCTATTTTTGGTCAAGATTGAGGGGCAAGACAGAAAAGGTTCATAACTGTAATTAAAGTTTTTAATTAGTCTTATTGTTTTCTATTAATAATGAATGTAGATGGTGCCCTGAATCTCTTGTCTGTGTTGGGATTTCCTTGTCCCAGCTTGTATGTCCAGAGGAAGCACACCTCCCTCTCAAGAAACAGAGCTGAAGAAAGAGGGCTGTCTTGCATGTTAGCCTGGTCATATTCTGCTTGTGGAGATCCTGGTTGCATACACTTGGCAGTGGTAGGGAAATAATTAGGTCAGTGACTCCATCTTCTCAAGGCAGCCAGTACACCAGTGCTTAGGAAGTCTACTGTGCAACATAGGATCTTGTCTTGTCTAATTTTAAGGGCTTTGAAGGAGAAGTGGGCTGAGAAAGAAAGACGTCATTGTGTGCCATCCTCACCTAGCATTCAGTTGAGTTTAGCTATTATGTAAATTACACAGTGTGGGGCTGTAAGTGAGAACCCTCTTATAGAGATGTGAGCCTCATCAGTCCTAAAATACCTAGGAAATGTGAAGTTACTCATCCAAACTTTAAATGTAGTTTTCCATTCTTCTAAAATTAAAGCAAACCAACCAAGCAGAATACATGGGGAATCACTGACAGCAGCTAGAAAAGGCAGGTTGTTTTTGTTGTGCAGAGGCATTACAGCCAGCACACACACAGTGGTGGTCAGCCTCTCCTGGAGCTGCTGTCCTACCACTCACTGGCCACACACTGGAGCCTCCTGCCTGTCTTGCTCTGTGCTGCCAGCACACAAAACACCTCCAGATCCTTTGGGATGAAAAACACAAATTTGAGATATTGTTAGTACAGTCTTCCTCTTGCTAAATACCTTGCCAGGTAAATCTGTCAGCATACAGCATCTAAGAACTCTGTTGGGTCTAAATATTCCTCTTGTCTGTCTGCTCTGCAGAATTACAGACAGAGACATATGCAAGCACAGTGGGACTAGCCCACCCCCTCTTCCTACTGCATCTGCCTTTGTTTATTATGTTGCTGCCAGCTCTTTTCCCAAGTGCTGTGTGCTGATCCAGTTACATAGCAGTGTCCTATGGAAGTTTCCTTTGCAACTCAGCAGTTGTGTCTTAAATAAAGACACAGCAGAGGAGTTCAGAGAGTTCTGCAAAAATGCATGAAAGCAAGCAAACCAAAAGGAGCAAGGAGGCTGCAAATGATCCTTCTGTGTCCCTGACCAGTGTCACTCAAAGCACCAGACTGTTGCCATTGTTGGATGTGTTTAGGAATCTTCATTCTGCAGGCTTTGCTGAGACTTTGCAAATTTTCAGCAGTTTCTCATTGTTTTGCAGATGTATGTTTGTGTTTGAACTTCTACTCCTCATGTATGCAGGGCATGTCCATGGGGAGCTTCTGTCTATAGCAAATACAAGCATCACTGTCATGGGAGACATGCCAACTGAATAAAATGCAGACTTGCTACATCTTTCTTTTGTCATCTGTGTTCATCAGAATCAGTGGTCCTGACTGTGGTTTCAATAATTAAATGTGTCCAACACTGACTAGGACATACTGTGTACTAATGTAGTCAGAAAAAAAAGTCCCCACAGAACAATTTATAAACATAGAGATAATAAAATTTCACAAGCTCAGAACTCAAATTGAGATTCATTTCTTGGATGTATAGAGACTGATTCTGATTCAGTGACAGCATAGGAGAATTCATGTTCCTGGCAAGAAAATTATTTTAATTGGAAAGAATTGCTAAACATATGGAATATGCAAACTAAGAACATTTTGCACTTTCTGTGACAGAATGTTCACTCGGCTGCTATAATATGTCCAGATTCTTTAAAAAAAAACCATAAAGCCAGTAACATTGGAAATAATACTTCAAATTAAAAAGTCTACAATGCTGAAAGAATGCAATCACTCAGGTAATAATGATACATTTAGGGCAGATTGAATAATTCTATCCCCTGTTGGTCAAATACTGGATTAAGTCACGGCAAAACTTATGAATGTAGACATATTTTGAGGACTGTAACTGAATAGCTGCTGAGTACTGGAGGCTTAACTGAACAATATGGAGACACAGTGCTTACTTCAGTCCTGCAAACAGGATAGCACCCCTGTGGACAAGATCCAGGATGGATTAACACTTTCCCAAGATGTTTCCCAAAAAGCCGTGTAAAAGAAAAAAAGCCCAGTCCATGGATGGAGTTATAAGGAGGATTTGAGATATTTCTGGGCTTGGAGATTACATCAAACTCTCATAGAAAGAGCCTGATGGTAAAGTTGTCTGTGGGTTGTGTTGCTGCAGACAACAGCTAGAAAAATTGCTTTGGAAAGTGATGTGGCTGTCAAAGTTACACATTTTTTATTCACATTAACAGTAAACTTGGAAAAACCTCTGCATCATTATACATTCTTATATACAGGTGTTAGCAAATCCCCTGTATGGGGTAGAAGAGATAAGAAAGGAGCATGAAAGGCACATGACTAAGCTATCAAACAGAAAAGCAGATGAAATTAATCCTAGGAAAATGCAAACAGGTACTAGGAGTTATTCACTATGCTCATGGAGGGAAGCTCAGAATTAGCAGTAATCTCTTGTCCTAAACTCCACGCAGAAGTTAATCCATGGTCAATGGAGCCATCCTCTCACACCTCTCCTCCCCCCTCCAGCAACCACAAGGTCTGCTGATGCCATTCTCTGTATCTGCACCAGTTCTTACAATACTGTTTATAGATTTGGTCGTCTTTCCTCAGCATAAACTGCAACAAGGACATGAGGATGCCAAGGTTCTTTTCTGCTTAGAGGGTAAGAGTGGAAGCCAGAGAAACACTGAATATTTAATTACAAACATTACAGAGGAGTTCAATTAGGACTCCAGCTACACTCTTTAAGAATCCAAAAATAACAGTCAGCTCAAATAATTAAAAGGCAAACAAAGACTCTTGTACAATGGAGCACAGGCCTTTGGAATGGGCTGCTATGGCACAACATTTCATTGAATGGCTAGGTGAGAGTGAAAAGGACACAGGCACAAACGAATATCAGGAGCAACAGCCAACAGGTAATACTTTCAGAGACTGACCATGCTATATGCTATATCCTAAGACCACATTCAACCAAGGAAATCATCAAACACTTCCCTTTGAAGAAGAGATTCCCATTAATAAGTATATTAAAAGCTTTCTATAATTCCCCTAGCTCCCTCTTGCCCTGGGCTCAGGAGTCAATCAGGCTGTTTGGATTCTAACAAAAATGAAAGAGCACACAAGGATGCCTGACATTATCCATACTCCACATTGCTTTTACAATAAGTGAAAAAGAAATTCACAATGTGATGAGACTGTCCAGTTATCACAATCTAGATTCTCATTTGCTTTTTCTTATGATTTCAATGCGTTGTTTTAACTTCACACATAATTAATCCCCTCAGTTAGAAGGGCAGAAGGAGGAGGAGGGAAGGTTTTCACGAGAAACCAGCTGTTGACAGGGAACTATCCTGCAGGAACTATGAGATATTGTGAATAGAATTAAATAGCTGCTATACGAGATCTCAGCAGGAGCCATCCATTTCCTCTTCACAATGCTGCGTGCCACTTGGTACAGTCCAGTCTTCTCTTCTTAGGAAATTATTTCTCTTTGATCTATCTTAACTAAGCAGCATTTCCAGTCCTCATTCCCTGTTTCTGCCATTAGCAGCTTTCTCTCTGGCTCCGTGGCAGCTGTCTCCTGCTCCGGTAATTCTCTGGTACCCAGCTCATCTCTGTTTTTCCCTCACTCCTCCTCCCACTGGCATGTTGTTATATCCCAAACACAGTAAGCAGATAAACAGGCAGCATAAATCACATGCTGAGTAGCCTAACAGGGAAGTTGCACTCCCACCCTCTGCCTTTAAAGAAAAATCACAGAGTAAATTAGAGACTGTTTCTTACTTGCTGGACTGGCTGAAGCACACTGGGCTTAGTATTTTCCGTCTCATCCTCTTGGTCCTTTTCTGAGAGTCCTTTCCCAGGTTGCTTGCATTTGCAGAAGCAGGTGAGGCCGCAGAGGGCAAGGATGCTAGTTGCAGTCCCTAAGGTAGCCCCCAGGGCTATAACTGGAGCAGACAAAACCATTGTCCTGTGCTGCACAGGAACAGAAAGCACAGAGACCCTGTGGCTCTTTCTACTCCCTGGGAGAGCAGCTCTCCCACATCCACTCCGAATTCTAGCCTGGTTTCATTCTCCTTGGAAGTCTGAAAGCAATTCTCTTTGCAGCAAAGGGACCAATCTAGACACACAGATAAATCATCCCACCTTTGCTAGGCAACAAGGCTACCTTTCTATCCTGCTGATGGAGTTGCTGCTCCAGGTCAGGGAGAGGAAATAGTAATTGTGGTGCCTGCAATCTCCATATAGCTGCAAACAGGCAGTTTTCATTGAAGCCTGTTCTCCAGCTCCACTGGGAAAAGTCTGATGTGTGATAGAGAGGAAAGACGTCAGCAGAAGGGGCTGGCCTTGCTAGCTAACTCACAGAAAGTGCATCCAAGTGTTTGATCATCTCTCTAGCAATATTTCTCGGGGTTGGCTTGCTGATATGCTCAAGAGGTTGCATTTTTTTGTCTTAAGGCAAAGATAGTGACTGCCAAAAGCTGCTGGCCTGAGAAGCTGTGTTATGATAGCACTGCACGATAACTCTGTAGTCACAGTAAAGCCTCTGTATAAGTCAGGCAAAACTTTCTCATCCTTCAGAGGCTGCAGAACAAACACAGGAAAGAATTAAGCAGTGTCCCATGCCTCACCACCTCAAAGCACAGGGTCTGAACCTTTTGGAGCTGCTTCTGCAGGATAAATGCAGAGCAGCACCTCTGTTTAAAAAGAGAGCAGAAAATCCTACCAAACAAGATGCACTAGTGCATATGCTGCTTCCTCTGGAGAAAATGAGAAAGCAAACAACATATGCTAGATATTAGTCATAGTGCTTACCACACTGGTGTCAGGCTGTGGGCTGCTGAGCACAGAAGAACCTGCATGAATAGACTTGAAGAGCTAGATGTCCGTCCCAGTTTTCTCTTGAGGTGATGGAGTGATTATCTTTCTCTGACTCATTTATTTTTGCCTTATTTCTCAGAATGCCCAGCTTGGGGAAGAGGATAATAAATGCCATCATTTGATGTGTTTCTCATGACATGTACTGCCCTTTTCTGGGTACTTCACAAGGAGAATCTAGTGGCCAGAAGGTGATTATAATTCTGGTCACTATATCTCTCAGCCAGAGTGAAAATAGTCAGCAAAATATTCCAAAAATACCCACTTCTACTGATTGTACTGGGAGTTTGTCATTCTGTTTTGGAATATAGTTGATGCCCATGGATCAGGAAAACAAATTAACTATGTACAGAGAATTGTTTAGAAATTCAGGTGTTTTGATCCTTCTGTAGCTCAGGTTTTGCATAGATTTTTCTTAACTTTCTTTTTTTTTTCTTTGATGCTTCACATCTTATTCATGACAACTCACGCAGCCTTTGTTCCTTGATGACATGTTCACCTCCCTGGAACAAAACTTCCCTCGCACATCTTCCCTCACTTTAATTGTTAGATTCCTCTGTAGCACTGCAGCATCCTAATGGCTGCAGTGCACATTCCCCTTCTCCTCACCCTACCTGGCTTGTCAGACATGTCTTACCCCTTGCTTCCAAGCCCTCTGACCCCCCCAATCAAGAATCAAATCCCAATGGACTCCTTAAGCAGAGGCAGTTTCCTAACAAACTGCTGAGCCCGTGGAAACTGGTCACTCAGCTCAGCCCAAAGAAGGAAAACCTCAAGCTTTGTCCTCTATCTGCAAGAACAAAAGTTGTGTGTACCAGGCTGGACCACTGGCACACCTCTCTCTCTGCTCAGCAGTGGGAAGAACATCACACAGAGGAGGTTGAGAAATCTGACTAAACAATCCCTTTGCTTCTTGGTTTTTTTATCTCAGGAGATTCCAAAGCCTTGAGTAGCACCCTTGTGCTTACCTCTTCTGATGTGAATTTTCTCTGCCACAAGTAGACTTTTCCAACAATTTGCTGACTTATCTAACAGCTATTTCATTCAGCCCACAGATGAACAGGTAACATTGTAATGATAGTGCCATGAGGTCTCATCTAGAGTTTAGAGATTGAACCAAGTTGTTATGGACTTCCTACCACCACTCAAGAGAAGCAGAAGTGAGAAGAGTCTGAAAGATGACAAAAAAGATGGACACACTCTTTAGATGCCTTTGATTTCCTCCACAGGATGGGTTCTTCCTAGAAGTGCCAATGAAATCTAACACAGCTAGGTCAGAGATCCCAGAGATTTGGAAGCCACGTGGAAAGGAAGAAGGTTCTGTTAAGAGTAGAATACAGTGAGAGAGATTTGGAGTGGAGAAGGCATTCAGTCCATTCATGAAATGCCATCTTGATGTGTTTCCCACAAGCTGTTCTGAGAATTATGCAAAGACTGCTTATAACATGCTGTAGAAATAAGGTCACACCAAAGTATCTCTGCAAGACAATAATTTAATAGCAAAATCTCTGAGATATTTTCTGCCTGCTTATATAGGCAGATTAAGTTTTCCTTCCCAGAAATTATATTTTATGTGAAATGTAATAGGTACAGAATCATTGTCAAATATCGTTTTTTAATAGTAACAGACAGCCAACAGCCTTTTGCTGCTATTTCTAGGAAAACAAAGAAGCTCTCCCCAGACATTGAATATTATCAGTATTATCAGCTTCTACAAGTGACAGGCCAAAGATTTCAGATTTTTGTGTGTGTACTGATGCATGTACAGATACATAATTTAACTGTAGCTTTGGCATGTACTGCCACTGCATGGTTACTTATTTTTAGCACATTCTGTTCTAAAAAAAATGGGCCAGAAGTGTGTTTCAAAGTCGTCTTTACACTTGCTTGTTTCAACAGCTAATAATGAAATTGCTTCTTTTTCTTTAAAGCAGTAGTAGAATAAAATGGGAACAGGTAATGACCTTTCTCACTAGCCATTCACACTGATACTGTCCAGAATCACATAGCTTTTTTATCTGTCACATCTGCCATAAGAAAGAGACTTGCCAAGGTAGAAAGATGAAAGCCTGTTTCTGGAATCCAGGTTTTAGGGACAGGTTCAGGCCTGACAACATATTTCACAGTCATCCTATCCACATATTTTCTCTAGATTCTGATGCAAGGTATGTATAAGAATGACAAAAGCACATACATGGTTTTCAGCTTCTGGTATTTCAGACAGGAATAGTCTGTGATGGCAAAATAGAAGGTACCAGTAAACCTTTGGTGCCTATAGATTCTTTGTTCCTGCTGTGAGCTCTTCTGCTGACATTCTGGGCCTTTCTGTTCATTAGCTGTATAAAAGAGTCTTGCTCTGAATGAAGACTTGGCAGTGCAGATCACATGGAGAATTACAAGAGCTTTTGCATTGCCTAGCTGTAGTTCATGCTTTAACAGAAAAAAAAAAAAGGAAAAAAAGAAGCCCTTTAATATAATTGCCAACCACTTGAATAAGCAGGTGGGATTTTCAACCTTTATTTTGACAATTGAAGACACAAATTAAAGTGCCAGAATCCAGGAGGAAAAGCTGATATACATCTGAATGAAAGATGTTTGCACACTACTTTCCCTGACTCAGCCTACTCCACTCCATCAGGGGCTGGTATCAGAGATACTCTGTTTCTCACTGAGGCATTTCACCAGGCAGAAGTGTGAGGTTAACAGATGGAAATGGGAAAGTTGTTCGGGCTTTTTTTTTTTTTCCAGGGAAATCCTGGTGACAGTCAGATTTAGCCTGAAGGTGTAATCTCATGTTTTCACTTGTATTGACTTGTTATGTGATTCTGTGCTACAGAAATGGAACAGTTTGAACAGAACGGTGGTCTAAAATAACTTTCCAGATCATTGCAAGGTGTTTACATCATCCACTTTGGGCACTGAAATAGTCTGTTAGTAACAGAAGACCACATAAGGCTGCCATGCGTTTTGTATAAGTAAATGAAATATTGTGAAAACAAAAGTGAAGGTAAAGGGCTTGTGCTTGCAATGACTGCATCTGACTCCTTATGCTTTTGTGTGCTGTTGCCTCAGGTTGTAAAATCTTTAAGAAAGAGATTCTGCCTTCCTCCAAGTGGTGAAGTGTTCCTCCCCCAGCTGGTTAAGTATTAACAAACCGCTGAAATAATCCTTTGCAGCACTATTAAGACAAAGCAGTTGTCTCTACATATTCATATGCAAAAAGAAAATAAAGAAGGAAGATCTGTGAGAGAAATGTAGGCTTGGTCCCTCCATCACTGTCACGGAAGCAGACCTATAGATATAAATCAAGAAAATTAAGTAATTAAGGGAAGAACAAAGACTCAGTTTCTAAAATGAAGCTGTAAGACAATCAGCCTCAACAAAATGAGCTTCAGGGTGTGGTGCTTCATCTGATGTTAATGGATGTAGAACTCCTGGAACCTCCAGACTTACAGGAGCACCTGACAGCTGTGCATGTAGTGTTTTGCCACAGTTCTACCCTCGGGATGATGATAAGGATTTAGCACCGTAGAGGGTCCAGCTAGTGCAGTGTAGAGTTTGTGGTTAATGATTCTGTACTGGGACACCACACTGTCCTGAGATTAAAATCTGTGGATTCAGGAGATCTGTGAGAAAAACATGGCTGTCTACCTGTTTCAGGAGGCTGCCACGTACCTCCTGTCACCAGCAGGTACCACTATAAACCTGACTGTTGTACATCTCTTGCACCCCGTGCAGCAACATTTGATGAATACTGCCAGAGGGTAGAAGACTCAATACTAGTAAGGAGAGAGAAAGGGCCAAAAAGCAAAAACTGGGGAGGAATAGGAAGGGTCTGTAATATGAGAATCGGGCATTGGTGTGACTGCTGTAGCAGGATGCTATGAGATGCTACACTATAAGAAAAGTAGGAAAATTAGAGGGAGTTCAGGAAAGCACCACATGAATGAATTAAGGGGTGTCAGGCAGTGGATCAGAGTGTGCCTCAAGAAGGAGAGTCTCTTTATCGATGAAAAGGCTAAGGGGTGTCTTGGTCAAAATCCTTAAGGACCCAGTTGTGAAATAAACCTTTGATGATAGAGGTTCTCTCCT